TAACTGATCTGTTGCTTATTTCACCACAACTTTCCATGTCACATTTTTCTAAGTTGTTGTATTTTCCTTTTCAGCCAATACCTTCTTCATTCTTATTCTATTGCTGGTTATTCAGTTTATCTTGAGACACTAAATTTAATATATAGTGTATGAAATATTTGATTCTCTATAAAAATCTTACAAGTTAAAGTGTTTTGCATTCTTTGATTTGGATTTGTTGGTTATCATTCAGCAATTCATGTAAAAGAAAGGAATAATGGCACTTAATCATGGAGCTCATTGACACTTATTCAAATAAATTAAGTCAATGCTAACCTTGACATAAAATTGTGCATTTTTAATAAAAAATTCAACAAAAAGGCAAAGTGTCTTATAAGAATCCAAACTTCAAACTCCTGCTGAAGTGTATTTTTCACAATCTGTAAGCGGCAAAAAGTAGTCGTTTTTCCAAAATCTCTGTTAAATCGGCAAAGTATAAAAAATGCGTTTTTCAAATCTATGAATGATCAATTCTAAACCTAATCCTTATTAAACCCAGAAATCTAATTTCTGAACCCACTTATAATAACTTCATTGAAATATATTATCTGAAATAGGGTATTTTAATAACTTTATCATTCATTAATTTACATTTTCGCTTAACGTCTTCTGCTTTGAGAACAATACAACCTGGTTAGCTAACTCCCTCAATCGAGACTTCATCAGTAAACTCTAGTTTTTTTATGAATTTATTTACAAAAAATAATCAAATACAGCTTTTTTAAGTATAGGAAATTAGGGCTGGAAGGTTCCATCAGCGTATTTGCGGAACTGAGTCAAGAATTCTTCACTCGGTGGGTTTTTCATGAATCGTAAGACACGGTCAATTTTGCCATCTATTCGATTGGGTTTGTCCAATTTCAAAAGGGCACAGACGAGTGGATAAAAGTCGATTTGGAAGAAGGACTGTCTCTCAGTGAACTGCTCAATATCAGGACCAGATGCCACCATAAATGGATTCATTTCTGGAAACTCATTGTCATATCCATGCATACCATCTATTAGTGAAATAAAAGAGAATAAAAAACTTAGATTTCAATGGCGGAAAAATATATAATAAAAAAAGAAAATAATACACAAGTGGTCGTAGTCTGAAGGGCCAGTTTTGAACATCCAACCGAGATCTGCAATTTAGTAAATTGGAGCAATTCTGTAGTTTCTTTTGAAAAAGTACCTATCAGGAATATCATTCCGCATATACATCTTGAAACCTTCTTGTTGTAAAGATTTAATAGCATTTACTATCTCTTCAGTAGTTGAACCATTGGGCCAAATTCCAAGAGTGGCAGGTGACTCATCCAAAATGACTTCTAAATCCTTTATAACATTGTAGACATCGACTATCTTATTCTTTTCATCAGTCTGAGCCATTCCATGATCCGATGTGATGATGAGGTTTGTTTTACCATTTAGTGAAGGTGTCTCCTTGATTCTTTGAAGGAGATAAGCAACACCGGCATTACAAAGTTCTATTTCTTGCATGACCTCCTGAGAATCGGGTCCAAACCTGTGCCCAGCACTATCAGGCTGGTTGAAGTAGAGCATGCCAAGATTGAAACTATCACTGGAGATCCAATCGAGCATTCGATTGATTCTATAAATCAGACTGTAACCTGAATTGTAGACACCCGCAGTAGCAAAGGCCAATTTATTGTTAATCCTAGCCTCACTTCCTACCCATGAAA